CCCACTATGGTATAGCAAAAGGCACGGTAGCTGTACACAGCCCTTTATGGAGACAAAGGAAAATCAGTACAACTGTTTATATATAGGGTAGTCACAGAGTGTTCCACAAGGTCGTGCCAGAATGTCCGTGAGGGGGCGAGAACCGTCGAGTCAAGGTGCTTGGCTCGGATTGGCTGGCATTCTTACCAATCAGGGCATGCCTACGTCTGGCCCGTGTCCTGCACGTGACACGTGCATCCAACTGATGTGATGTTCGGTTATTAGGGACGGCTGGCCCCCGAACACCTCCCCCTTGAGAGGGCTGTCCAACCGACTGCTGCTTTGGACTCCACTGTGATGACTCATGGAGGTTCTGTCGCACGTCGGTCCGTCCCTGGGGCTGCCAGCATGCTGATCTGGAATCCGGTACCCTCCACTTGGGAGGCATGCCTACGTCTGGCCCGTGTCCTGCACGTGACACGTGCATCCAACTGATGTGATGTTCGGTTATTAGGGACGGCTGGCCCCCGAACAGGCAGTTAGGTACCGAATGACTTATAGCTGGGTGGTTATTATGATTATTGTATTATTAACCAGAACAGGTTGACGGGATGGACAGCTGCTCCGGAAGCCTAAATGATTACCGTCCTGCGACTTACGAGAGGTGTATCCCTTCAGTCAATCATCAGCTAAGGCTTCGGTAAAAGGCTTTCCGCAGCATCAGATTGCCGAACACTATCTGGAACATGCTCCTGATTACTTGTCACAAGGGTGAACTACCACAGCCAAACTGGAAATACATGATTGCTATATGGAGAAAATATTGCCAGGGTAAGTGGGAATAGTCATGGAAGGAAATGATGCTCAAAGTGGGACTAAATAATTTAGAGTCCAACTGAAACTCCAGAGGCGCTCGAAGACGAGCAGCCTATCGTAGTTCCGTGAACATGCTATCTCACTCTACTTCGAGTCATTTGAAAATAGTAGCAGTTTCGGCTGTCATCACTGATAATGGCACTTCATTTTTAAATTTCTCTATTTTACTGTCCGGGAAATTCAAGCTGGGTTCCGTCCCCCAGTATGATACGTCGGTCAAATGTTCACCCTCCGATAGATTCTGGAACTACGAAACTGCTTCCAACAACCAACATCGTTGTTCTACCTTGACTTGAAAGCCACTTTTCACTTGGTCCGTCAGGCCTTGTGGGAGTGTCCGTGAAATAAAGGTATTCCTCCACGAATTCATGGTCTTCCTTAAAGCGCTATACGCCAACTCCCGCGTGTCTACTGGAATCTCTCGCCTGAGTTCACTACGCCAAGTGGTATCATGTAAGGCCGTCCCATTTCAGCGTTCCTTTTCCATCTCGCCGTTGATAAGATCATGGAACACTGGTTCTCATACTCTTTGGCATATTGGGTCGAAATGTCACCGGATGTTCAGTCAGACATCAAGCACACAAACGACACAGAACGTCACAAAGAGACGACATTACCATGATGTGACCGTTTGTGTGGTTCCTTGTCGCACGGGTACCCTTCAGTATAGTCCATTGGGTCAAGGAACTATACGCGAAACCAACACTCTCTCATTCCAGGTTGATCACTGGTTAGAGATTCGTCTCACACAGTCCCCCGACCCTTCAGGCTGGAAGTCAGAACACGTGTCTTCATACCGTCCGATTATCCAGCTCAGTCAAGCTCAATGCCTCAGCATGAAAGCGGTGCCTGTTTGTTGCATCGGCTCATGCCCCAACGTACTGCAGTTCTGACGCTGAGAAGGATACTTTCTATCGTGAGGTATCCGAGATTGTTCGTCAGGCAAGAAGCACTGACACTGTGATCCTTGCAGGCGATATAAATGCTCAAGTAGGTCGTCTTAGTTCCTTGAAATCACATTTGGGCGGTCGATTCGGAGGCGATGCTCGCTGGCCAGACAATGAAACTCGATTCCTTCAACTGTGTGCTGGCCACGGACTGTTTTTGTCAAGCACGAACTTTCAACATAAACGTTCGCTTCGCGTATCCCGACGGCCACCAACTGCAAATCAATCGTGAACCCAGTTTGACCACGTGGTCATCACTCACCGGTGGAGAGCCACAATTCAAGACCGCGGTTCCTTTCGAGGCACACCACTTGATTCCGATCACGCCATGGTGTGTGCATACCTGAGAGTTCGCTTCCTTAAGGCCCTCCCAAGTCAGCAAGAAGCATGCCAATATACTACCATAGTTCAACAGTATCGATCTGAGCTAACCCAACAACTATACACAGTAAACCCACACTCGGTTGGTAGTGAGCACGTGGATAGGGCAAGACAAAATATGAAAGATATTGTAGCGGCGTTCTTCACTGTCTGTCCGACTTCTCCTATTCGACCGCAAGACCACTGGGTGTCGACGAGATCGCTATCCATGATGGATGCCAGGTAGTCGTTACCAGCAGACAATGAGTATGACGGTGCACGCAAATACCTCAAATGTCAAATTTTGAAGTTTCCAAGGAGGGACCAAGAGTTCTGGCAGAGATCAAAAGCTCGGGAGATGGAGAGGGTTTTTGCTGCCTGAAACAGCCGTGCCCTATATCAACTGGTACGATCGACTGGCCCTAGGAAAGCAACGGTCAGCGAAACGATAAGTGAAAAAGATGGCTGATTTATTCACTCGCAAAAATGTCGACTAGAAAGATGGGCCGAACACTTCGAAGAACAGTTCAGCTGACCTGCAACACACCCTGTAGAGATATTGCATACAGGGAACGGAATT